GTGTGTGTGTGTGTGTGTGTGTGTGTGTGTGTGTGTGTGTGCGTGTACAAGCAGCAACAAATTGAAAAAAGCACCTCTGAAAATTATTCTTGGAGCCACTCAGCCGAGTTGTAAGGTTAAAGTGTAAATACAACAAACACTGAAAACTCTGAAAACAAGTCAATTTGGTGTAGCCTTTCTTACAACGTAAAACCAAATTAATTTCTTTTGCCTCTTTTTTTCTTGTGGTTGATTATTCCAAGCTCCTTCTGTGGAGGATTTGCAGCACATGGCTGAGAATGAAACTGAATGTGCTGCTGAGGATTTCCTATACGTCTTTTCTTTTTTCACTTTGACTTTGCTGCTTTTGGTGGAGCTTTTTTCTTCTCCGAGACTTTCAGCCGCATATGTCTCTGTCATCAGGGATTTGCGGGTGACCTGATGGTGAGGAACATTCAGCTAAAGCATTCGGGGAAGTATGTGTGCATGGTACACACTGAAATCGACACAGTTTCTGCAGCGGCAGACTTAATTGTCAGAGGTATGCTTTTTCCTCCTTACACTGCTTGTCATTTTGTAGTACTCTGCATGTCTGTGTTTCTTAAGATGATGATAAGAGCTGTATCACCGACAGTGTAAAGAGGGGGACTTGTTGCATAAATTTCATTACTTGCTGATATAATTTCCAACAGAAGTTTTACATCAGGCAATAAAGCAGAAAACTCCTCTACATTTGACATTGAGCATTTCAGTGTTGCAGCATTTTCACTGCTGGTAAACAAGCTTTACTCTGTTAGATCCTTTTTCTGATTTCAGAAGGAAAATATTGATGATTTTCAGCACTGAAAGTTGTTCTTTTAATACGACACGGCCGCCTGTATTGGCGCGGTTGGCTTGTTGCAGGCAATGCAGACTCAGGTTGCTCATAGTGCCGTTGACTGATCGATTTGACTGGCAGACGAGAGCCGGTTCAAATTCAGCCAGGAGAATGATGCTGCCAAACGAATGGAGCCCGTCTAGACATAAAGACAGGGCTTTGTAAGCCATCCCCCCGATGGTGTTACACTCAAATTTGTCCCAGTGGCTTTACTGGAAATATGCCAAAAGAAGGCATTTCTACACATGAAAAGATGCAAAGCAACAGTGTTCTTCAACATCCCAATGATGTTTCTGTGATTAGTGAATATAATTTGGATTTAACTGGTGGCACAGTGATGTGTTTCTTTTTTCTTTTCTGCGCACTCTGCTTTCGTCTAACAACACAAAGACATGGAGGTTAGGTCAACTTGTGATTGTAATTGCCCGTACCGTCTTGCTTGGACAGACTTGTTGGATGTTGGCTAAGTGGTTAAAAAAAACAGATGGGTAATTAAGCATATGTGTCAGTTAAATTAGTCCCTTTAAACAGATACTCCTGACACGTGTTACCCTGCAAAGTCTTTGAGAAAATAAAAGAAGTTAAACTCATTGCCTCTTATATCACAGTTAACTTGAAGGAAAGTTGCCACAAAAGCTACAAAGGTATCTAGAAAAACAGTCTTCATGCAAGAAAACATTTTATAAAGTATGTTTTTAACTGATTTCATGCCATAAATGTTACTCTGGGGGAGAGCATTTTTGATGTTTAAACTCAAGGATTATAGATATCCTACATACCCGTCTCTTTGGTTGATGTGCCAGTAGTTTAAGTAGAGACATAATATGTCTGTGACCCAGGCACAATAGGCTTTATTCAACAACGTTGAGGTCCGGTGTGTGCTTGCTTCTACACAACCTTCAGAGATATAACAGTGTCCGCAGCTCCAGACACTTCCTTTGTCTCTTTTTATTCCATTTTTATTATGTGTTAGCATATGTTATGCATATGTTATGCGCCTTATAGGCTTTGCCAGGGAGAACTGTGAGATGAGAGACAGACTGTGTCAAGCTTGCTCATATTTATTCTCGAGCTTTAGGTGAGTTTAAATCTGTCAAAACCTTAAACCAAGTGTGCAGACTCAAGTTCCATTTGAATTTGCAAATATCTTCACAGACACTCCATCACAACCATGACGTATTACACAAAGGAAATACATGATAAGTGCAAAGGTTAGACTAGGCGTAGAGAGAATGGTCTGGGATAATCTGAGACGTTCAGATTAGCAATGCAGGGAATCAAGAGTCTGCCACCAATATAGATTATGCAGGTTTTCCATATTGTGTTTTTATATGCATAATCCAAAACCAGTGTTGTTGATGCTCAATCATCTTCCTACAGAAGTAGTTAGTCACATTTAGAGCACAGCGCTACTTTTGCAGATTTGCAGGGTTTAGCAGGAAATCCCATGTTGCTGCGTTCCCTGATTTTAGTGAGAAACCAACTGAAAAATCTGCCTTTTCCCCAAATCCCTGGTAATTAATGTTGTCTTTTGTTATTATTATACTCCACTTTCACTTAGCAAAAAACACTGAACCTCCCTCAGACAGAAAATGCCTATTGAGCAAAATAAGCTCATTCTACTACACAAAACTTGTAAAATGAAATCTTTACTGAAAAACTCATCCAAGGGTCTCGGCCATGCAACATATCTTCATAGAAATAAAAACGTATCATAATGTAAGTAGATACACCTACTTACAGCGGGCTAGACAACATATAATGTTATGCACAATTTTACCTCTGTTTTTTCTGGACCTTAGAAAAGCAAAGTCTTAACATGGATACATTATCTAGTCCTAGTTTATAAGTATGTAAAGACAAGGTTACTTTAACCTATTGTACAACTAATCTGTGAAACCCAGTGATAAAGAATAAAGGCATTTTTTTTTAAATGTATCTACATATTAAAGCTAAACAAACCTCCTAAAAGAAAAATATTCAGCGACCTGTTTCTCTTTCTTTTGTTGTTTTCCTTGCTGGTGTGAGGCATACATGTCTCCAGAAACTAAATAGGTCAGATTTCATGATGAGCTCACTCACTGTTTTCTTCTTGTACTTGTTTTTTTTTTTTTTTTTAACAATTAAAGCATTAAAAATACCCCAGTCTCTGATAAAAGAAGTGTAACCTGCCTTCCCACTGATCTGTGATATTCGGTGTATTAATTATGGTAGTGTCACAGCCTGTTATATCTCCTGTTAGCTAAGTTATGAATAACACCTGCAGTGGAGTCTCAAAGCCGACGTGAGCTCATTTGTTTAGGCCGCTGCCGTACAGTGAGGCTGATGCAGGTGTCTCTTCTTGTTGCAGGACCTCCTGGCCCCCCCGAGGGCCTGGTTGTGACTGACATTACTGACACTGCTGTGCAACTGTCTTGGGGCTCTGGACCTGACAACCACAGCCCTGTTACTAAGTACATGGTGCAGGCCAGGACCCCCTTCTCTATTGGCTGGCAGACTGTGAGGACAGGTACAAATGCACCACCACCGTCAGGCAGTTATATTTTTATTGAATGTCTTTTTTATCATTTAAGGTTCAAAATTCAGTGTTCTTTATGGTGATTATAAATGAACATAATTAAGGCAATGCATGATATAAATACAAAATACAATATTAAAAAATTATTTTTTGATGTATTAAAACAAACCATTTATGACACATTTCACATGTATGACATGTAACAGAGGAAAGCTGAAATGCTTTGCAGCTTTTTCAGTGAATGAAGCTGTTTAGTGAGTTGTGAATAGCTCCACAATAAACAAGAAGTCTTGATGTAGAAATGCATAAAATTCTTTTTACTCACAGAATTTTATAGTTACATATTTTCCTGGTATTTTTCTCCACGCAGATACGTAGCATAGCTTTGTATCGTTTGCATATAAGTAGCATCGCCCTTTCACTGATCTATAAAAGTGACACATCCTGATGTTTATCGTAAATCCCGGACTACAGAGCGCACCTGATTAAAAGCCGCATGCTCTAATTTTAGAAAGAAAGTCAATTTTGTACTTGTACAGGCCGCACCGGATTTTAAGCTGTATGCGTTTCACTCATAATACGAGATATTTACACAGAAATATTACACGTGAGGCTTTTTAACGTTTAATTTAATCTGTAAGGTAACATAAACATGGAAACATAAACGTTATGGTAACACACAAAAATACATACTGCAAATGCTTTTTTTCCTCGAACAGCGCCTGTAACGCGGCTACCTTTAAGTATACGTACGTATCAGTAACACACACGTTGCTTAGGTTTTTTTTACTGAACAGTGCACAAACAACATTACAATGTCTCTTAACAACCGGTAAAAATATATACCGTATATATACTACTTAATATACTACTTATCAATTTTATTGGTCTACTGTTACCAGGCAAAATGTTTTTGGCCGCATGAAAAAGTATTAGCCGCACGTCAGTATAAGCCACAGTGTTCACAGTGTGGGAAAAAAGTAGCGGCTTATGACCCGAAAACTACGGTAGTTGGTTTCAAAATTAACCACCTTTCCATTGTAACTTTATTGTCCAAAAATAAAACACAGGCTGCACTTCTGTGTCCCCCTCAGAACCACCGGGAGGGGAGCTATTGTTCACTGTACTTTGAAATGTATTTTTTCTAAGCAAAATGCACGTGTACTGAGGGCTGGTTTACCATTAAGTAAATAAATATCAGGTATTCACAGGAATTTCTTGCCACTTTTGGCAATACAGCCTAAAAATCCTCAGTCCTGCAACAGCTTATTAATTGTGGTTATCTAGTTGTGTTACTGTTTAAAATAGCATTGCAAGATGCTGATGCACCTGTGCGATCGACAATAATTATGATGCTTGTAGAGATGCTGACGAGCTGATTAAAACTTCACAGTTTCATTCCATGCATTTCATTGGTATATGAACTACTTATACCTGCTGGGAACCAAATGTGAATGTGACACATGAAACATAAAAACACAAAACACATGTCAATTCTAAATTCTTTAATCCTAGTTCCTGATTCTGTGCCTGGACAGATGATGCATGCCACAGTGAAAGAGTTGAACCCCTGGGTGGATTATGAATTCAGGGTGGTGGCAATCAACAGTGTTGGTGTTGGAGAACCCAGCACGCCATCAAAACAGATTCGAACCAAAGCAGCAGGTACCCTCTCGATTTGTTGTTTCTCTTCATAACAAATTAATCAGTCCCACTTGGAAAATGTAATTTAACTGTTTGATTAGTTCCACTTTTTTGTCCGTGCTCCCTGTGATGTTTCAAATCTGTTCTATGTTTTCATGCCACTACTTTGATTACTCAGTCGCAGGCGGGAAGAGTGGAAATTGAGTTACACTTTTAAAACGCTTTTTAAAGTATCAGCACTAAGCTCTCGTGCACTCTGGAGCATGTGTTGGGTTTAATTAGTGGTTGCATCAAGAGAAGCATCTCCCACTCGCACATGCCACGAGACACGGCCGTGAGCGAGTCTTTTTTTGACTGGTTAGCTGAGTAATTCTATCCCGCTGGTTGAATCACAAGGGAACAAGTTTCCCGTTGAGCCTCACGCACGGGGCTGACATATGGCACTCGGCTAATAACGGCGGCACACACGGGTGGTAATGCCACTGTCAACAAAAACCTAATTCCTCTCCTGTGTGATTAACCCATTTTGTGTAAACAGAAGCTCCACACAGTGCCTGCGATCCTCTTATTTGAACTACTTCTTGCACCTGCGTCAGACATAACAGTCAGAACTGAGGGATGAGCAAGTTTCCTTTTGTGTCTGTTTAGTTCCCAAGGTTGCGCCGATTAACGTGAGTGGTGGCGGAGGAGCTCGAGGAGAACTTGTTATTATGTGGGAGGTAAGAGGATCATGGGCATTTCTGAGTGGGCATTCATTGTGACAGAGTATTCTTCTTTTGATGAGAATGGGATCCTGGCAGGTTACTGCATCTGCTGCAGTCTGGCTTCAGTGGAATGGCTTTTAATTAAAAGGCAGAGCTTTTCTGATTTGCTGCCTGCTGACTCCCCCTGTTGTGTAAATCAACAAGGAGATACAGAGCCAGCGCAAATTACACGTGTGTAAATCCAGAATTAGGTGACAGCTTTACATTTTTTGGATGTGGGTCAAAGCACGGAGAGGTGCTGGATCCGTAGATTTGCTCAAAACTTTGTTAGACATAAAACACTGTTACTGCTTTACTCTTTTACAGCTGCCTAATTTAATTTCTGCTCACAGTTGTTTGGGTCAAAGGCGTAACTTTTCTGTCCCCATCTCAGCCGGTTCCAGAGGAACAGCAGAGCGGAGAGGACTTTGGCTACGTTGTAGCTTTCCGCCCACTTGGCAGCAGCACCTGGATCCAGACAGTGCTGGCATCACCTGACGCATCCAGATATATTTACAGAAACGACAGCATCGCACCCCTGTCCCTGTTTGAGGTGACAGTGGGAGT